GCTAAGGAGCTATGGAATGCTTTGGACCACAAATATAAAAGCGAGGATGCCGGCGCAAAGAAATTTGTTGTTGGTCGATTCCTTGATTTTAAAATGGTGGATTCGAAGACGGTCTTGAGTCAAGTTGAGGAGATGCAAATGATCTTCAACGAAATTCGAGACGAAGGAATGACGGTTAGCGAGTCGTTCCAAGTGGCGTCAATTATTCATTTATTGCCGCCGGCTTGGAAGGATTTCAAAAACTACCTTAAGCATAAGCGAAAGGAAATGAACTTGGAGCAATTGATCCTCCGTCTTCGGATTGAAGAGGATAACCGGAAGAACGATGGGAAACTCCCAATTGTTCATGGCGCCAAGGCCAACGTGGTGGAGCATGCAAAAAGCTCCAAAAATAAAAATAATGGGAAGAGCAAGCTCGGTCCCAAGGGAGGCATTTCCAAGACAAAGTTCAACGGAAAATGCTTCAATTGCAACAAGAATGGACACAAGTCCTCGGATTGCAAGGCACCAAAGAGGGAGAAAGATTCTCACGTCAATTTGGTGCAAGGTGGGCAAAAGGATGAAGACATCATCCTAGCGGCTGTGGTGACGGAAGTCAACCTCGTTGGATCCAATTCCAAGGAGTGGTTCGTGGACACCGGTGCAACCCGGCATATTTGCTCAAACCAGGAGTTATTCACTACTTTTGAGCCATCAAATGGTGAGAAAGTGTGGATGGGAAACTCAGCCCATTCCGAGGTGGAAGGCGTGGGCAAGGTGGTCCTGAAGATGACTTCGGGCAAGGAGCTGACTCTAAACCAAGTGCTGTTCGTTCCGGAGATACGCAAAAACCTGATTTCCGGTTCGTTGTTGAACAAGCATGGATTCCGCATGGTTTTTGAGTCGGACAAATTAGTTTTGTCCAAGTCGGGAATGTATGTGGGCAAAGGGTATGCATGTGATGGGCTGTTTAAGCTCAATGTAATGACTATTATTAATAATAATAATAAAATCCCTTCTGCTTACTTGCTTGAGTCTTCCAATGTGTGGCATGGTAGACTAGGACATGTTAATTTTAATTCTATACGTAGATTAATTAACATGGAGCACATTCCTAAATTCACAATTGATGTGAAGCACAAATGTGATGTTTGTGTTGAGGCAAAACTAACGAAAACGCCTTTCAAATCGGTTGAAAGAAAAACGGAACCACTAGAATTAATTCATAGTGACGTTTGTGATTTTAAATCAATACAAACACGTGGCGGTAATAAATATTTTATTACTTTTATCGATGATAGCACTCGCTATATCTATGTTTATTTGTTGAAAAATAAACACGAAGCAATCGATAAATTCATTCTTTATAAGAATGAAGTGGAAAACCAACTTAATCGACGGATTAAAACGGTTAGGAGTGATCGAGGTGGTGAGTATGAAGCACCAATTGGTGACTTTTGCGCTAGTGTGGGTATAGTACATGAACGTACCGCCCCCTATTCACCTCAATCAAACGGTGTTGCCGAACGAAAGAATCGCACATTGAAAGATATGATGAATGCGATGCTAGTAAGTTCGGGCTTGCCACAAAATATGTGGGGCGAAGCAATCTTGACAAGCAATTACCTTTTAAATAAGGTTCCCCGGAAAAAATATGATAAAACTCCGTACGAGTTGTGGAAAGGCAGACGGCCTTCCTATCAATATTTAAAAGTGTGGGGATGTCTTGCTAAGGTGCTTGTACCAACACCTAAGAAAATAAAAATAGGTCCAAAAACGGTGGATTGTATTTTTATTGGGTATGCACAAAATAGTAGTGCTTACCGGTTTTTAGTGTACGATTCGAATAATCCGGATGTACATAAAAACACAATAATCGAGTCAAGGAATGCATCGTTCTTTGAAGACGTATTTCCATGCAAGTCCAACGATGGACCTAGCACGTCAAAACGAACATTTGACGTAGCTATGGAAAATACTAGCGAGGGATCCGATGAAGAACCCGAACCCCGACGTAGCAAACGTGCTAGAGTTGAAAAATCCTTCGGACCGGATTTTCTCACATACTTGGTAGAATTCGATTCGAATATTCTAACGTGTATGGTAGAAAATGAACCGGATTTTCTAACATGCTTGGTAGAAAATGAGCCACGGACTTATACGGAAGCCGTAACGTCTACCGAAGGACCAATGTGGAAAGAAGCCATCAAAAGTGAGGTGGATTCTATCCTAAAAAATCACACATGGGAATTGGTTGATCTTACTCCGGGATGTAAACCTTTGGGATCCAAGTGGATTTTTAAACGTAAAATGAAACCGGATGGTTCCATTGATAAGTATAAGGCCAGACTTGTAATCAAGGGATACAAGCAACGTGAGGGCCATGATTACTTTGACACGTATTCTCCTGTGACGAGAATAAATTCCATTAGGATGATACTAGCAATTGCCGCTTTGCGGAATTTGGAAGTTCATCAAATGGACGTAAAAACCGCTTTTCTAAACGGCGATATAGACGAAGAAATCTATATGGAACAACCTGAGGGTTTTCGTGTTCCTGGCCAAGAAAAGAAGGTTTGTAAATTAATTAAATCATTGTACGGATTGAAACAAGCCCCTAAACAGTGGCACGAAAAGTTCGATCATGCAATGTTAATTAATGGGTTTAAAATAAACGAAAGTGACAAATGCGTCTATGTGAAAAGCACGGTAGACGGCTACGTCATTTTATGTTTATACGTGGATGATATACTCATCGTGGGTAGTAATAATCTGATGATTAATTCTACCAAAAACATGTTAAATTCTAAATTTGACTTGAAGGATATGGGGCTGGCCGATTTAATCCTTGGGATTAAAATAATTAGAGGACCTGAGGGTCTGACGCTAAGCCAATCCCATTACGTTGATAAAATCCTTACTAAATTTAATAAGGATGATTATCAAGAGGCAAGGACGCCGTTAGATAAAAACGTACACCTGACCAAAAATCGTGGAGAGTGTATTTCTCAAGTAGAATACGCTAGGATTATTGGCAGTTTAATGTATCTAATGAGTTGTACCAGGCCTGATATTGCCTTTGTGGTTAGTAAGCTAAGTAGATATACTAGCAACCCCGGTGACGAACACTGGAAGGCAATAGTAAGGGTTTTGAGGTATTTACGAAAAACCCAAAACCTTGGACTGCACTACGGAAGATATCCAGCTGTACTTGAAGGGTATAGCGACGCTAGTTGGATATCTGACATTAAGGACTCAAAGTCCACGAGTGGATATGTTTTCACTTTGGGAGGTGCAGCCGTGTTGTGGAAATCCTCGAAACAAACGTTAATAGCTAGATCCACGATGGAATCTGAGCTAATAGCCTTGGATAAGTGCACTGAAGAGGCGGAATGGCTACGCCATTTTCTCGAGGATATTCCAAGTTGGGAGAAGCTTGTCCCTCCAATATGCATACATTGCGATTGTCAAGCGGCAATTGGAAGGGCACAGAGCAATCTCTACAATGGTAAGTCTAGACACGTTCGTCGTAGACATAACACCATTAAACAACTCCTCACAACGGGTGTTATCACTGTTGACTACGTAAAGTCGAAGGATAACATAGCGGATCCGCTAACCAAGGCATTGGATAGAGAATTGTTGGAGAAGTTGTCACGAGGAATGGGATTAAAGCCCGTGAATTGAAAAGTTCTATAGTGGATACCCAACCTAGTTGGTCCTAGGTTCAAATGGGACAACTAAATTATAGAGCGAAGGATGGTCACTGTGGGGGTCCCGGACTCCTAGCCACTCCTCGTTGAAACAGTGGCTCCCGCACGAGGTTAGCAAAAACGTTTGCTTTAATGATTCTAAAATGTTGATCTACTCGATAACATTGGAAGAGTATGCGGGATACTCGTGAAAGAATCACCTATGTGAGAGAGAAGAGGGCCGCTTCAAAGGAGAACTGTAAAGGCTCAGTTCTTTAGAAACTCTTGCAGAACCAGGACGGTGACCCATGGCCAAAATGGGCACACCCATGAGAACGGAACAAAGTTGGAAGGTTCTTGTGTAAAGATAAGTCAATGTTTACACGACGACAGTATAGTTCAAAGACATCGAGTCTACTAGACAGCCAGTAAATAAACGTGTCTTTACAGCGGAAGGTTCAAAGGATTAAACCTACCTCTCCGCATGCAAGGATCATCCGGTGAACACAACGTGTCCTCCTATCTTCGTGTCATTTTTAAGTCTCGAAAATCAATTTTCATTCATGTGGGGGATTGTTGGAAAATGTGTTAGTAAATTGCATTAAATGGTCATTTTGGGGCAATTTTTTGAGTGGGGTCCACTTCCGATTCGGGTCGGGTCAAAGTGGTTTCGGATTGTCCTTGTTAAGGGCTACAATTCGATACGTGGTACACTCAAAACGGATAACGGGTGAATGAAATATCGATTTTCGAAGTTTGCCCGTTGAAATGGGGTAGCAGCCGGCTGCTCTAGCAGCCCACTGCCGGCAGGATAGTCGGCAGCAGCCTGCTGCCGGCAGGACAGTCCGTAGCAGCCTGCTGCTGAGACGTCTGCCGCAGCCCACTGCTGGGACGTTACAACTCCATAAATGCCCAACGTTCCTTTGCAATAAATGGACGGTTTTTTGGACTAGAATCAATGCCAACGTGCTGGACATTGATTACCAACGTTCATATCCATTAAACCTCCATTAAACACACAACAAATCTTCCCTATAAATGGCTGCAGGTGGTTTGCAACAACACAACAACACACAATACGAACTTCACGTGTTTTCTAGCTCAAACACACCTCCAGCATTCCGAAAATTCCCTTTGTGTTCAGCTTTTGTTCTCGTTCGTTGGAACTCTTGTTTGTGTGCTCAAACATTAGTTCGTTGTCATCGTATCCTGGGAAACTATTGTTGCAACGCTCCTAGCACCGTGGGAGGCAACAAATACGTTTTAAGGACATCGTGCGTAGCACGAGCTTTGACAAATTTCTGCTCCATCTCATTTCTGTTTTCTTTTGTCATTTTATTAATTAATTTATTTTAATTAATTTTCTTTGTTTTTCGAAACACACCCAACACGTACTATACAAAAAGGATCATAGCTTTCTGAAAAGTTCTTTATAGACTATATTATCAATGGTGTTAATATCACGTCTCTCTTAATCACATATAAGAATCTTCAACTCACTCATTGAGGTGATCAAGGCTCCTTGAGATGACGCTTGGCATGACGGCCTACAATTGAATATGCACAAAAACAAATTTTGGTAGATATATGTCACGCCCCGGACCTCCCCGGACACGTCAACAACCCGCCGTACAATACGAATAGTCAACCGCAGTCCAACACATTCATATTATACAAGGCGTCTCGAATATCATTCACACGTAAGCCATCCATAAACAAACATAGTAAGTAATTCATAATGCAGCGGAAAACATTGTTTAAAACAAAAAGACCACACCGGGCTATTCATGAGCACGCAGGCTCCATAGTAAAATATCCATGAGCATGTTTATTAATGTTTAAAACTGAATGGAGGAAGCACGAACCAAGTCTTCCCTCCTAGATGATCCCTCGAGCAACGAGCACAGGAAGCAAGCTCTAGCCTCAACCTGAAAAATGGTAATGGGACGCCCCCGAAGGGGTCAGCACTCTATAGGGCTATAAAGTGCTGGTGTGGATGGCAACTAATAGATATACAACAAGTATTTCAAACACAAGACCCTCAAATAGGGTGATAGTATAATCTAGGCCGTAACCCCAAGTTACCCCTTTTAAAAATATACTTACTTTATATACAAAGTCAAGTAGTCGGCCCGTAGGCCCAAGGTTTGTTTATCAAACATACCCCAAAATCCCGTGACCCCTAGTCACAACAATACATAGGGTTCAACTCTAACACACATGTTTGCATTCTCGAGTCCAACTCGACTACATCACCATGCACCCTTATTAGCATAAGCTAACTACTCCACCGTGCATTTCTTGAGTCCAACTCAACTACATCACCATGCACAACAATCACCTCATCATGTCTACCCAATGCAATTCTATGAGCACGGGCTCAAGTACATCTCCTTACATTGGCATAGACCCCAATTCCTAAGCACTCGCTATGCCTAGAATTGTAATATCAACAATCTATTTTGGGACATCCCTACGGACTGCCCAACCATGGTCTTAGCATCACATTACATCAATTTAGTCACTTGCATCACAATCAAGTTCATCAATTACAATCAAATCCTTAGATTCAATTCTTCAACAATTACAACAATCGTTAACTAGTATTTCAATACTATTAAGATTATTCTTATCAATCATATATTCCATTTGTAAAACCCTACATATTTAGAGATATGTAGCAGCAACTTAATCATTCAATGTAATACATAAATAATCATTTATGTATCTACACAATTCACACATGAGTAGAATGCCTATTTCACGTAATAGTTCATTTAACTCCATTTTCATCAATACTTTACCAAATCATTTCTCATTTCATTCTTTGGAAAATAGATCAATATTCCATCAATAGGTTATCATCATAATCCATGGAAAACATTACGTAGGCATTTAGGTAATCTCATGCTCAACCTACAAGTTGTAAGCAACTAGATGTCGATCCTCACCTCAAATGAGCTTTAAAACCTTCCTTCTCGATCCAATGGCTAAAGCCTCGGCCAAGGAAGCTTGAGAACTGATTCCTTGCTTAGAAATGGGTGCTAAACAGCCTCCTCAAGTTGCTATTTCAACCCCTAATCGTTGATACGAAAACAGCCCCTAGAACGGGTGTTTTCCGGCTAACTCGATTCCTAGTTTTCCAATATTTGCATCTAGGTTAGTATCTAACCTTTACATCAATAAAATAACTTAATAGGGATGTTTTATACACTTGGAGTAGTGTATAATAGCCCCACCAATCGTTCATATCATTTGGAAAATGAATGGAAAGGTTTTGGGATTAAAAACTCACTTAGAAGAGTAAATCCGTCCCTGCGAGGTCGCGTTCTGCTCGGACGATTTGGAAGCCGTCCTCTACTCCGATTGATGCAAACCAGACCTTCACGGACTCCTCGTCTTGAGAGCTTTCTTTTGGTATCTCACACGCCTTAATTGGATTGGTAAAACTCGAGATATCAACCAAACAGTCTCAGCACTCTCACAGCTCGAGTTCACAGACCACTGCTCGTTCCAGATCGATTTTTGGATGATTACTCTCTCCTCTCGAACTGAGACCACTCAATTATAAAAATAGACTTCAAAAGCTATCCAAGGACACCTTATACACCTCATTTGGCCGAGTATAACATCACTCATGAAGGGAGACAACCAGCACCACTCTTATGAGCGAAAAATAGGCTAGGTGGGGTTCCCTTTTGTTTCCTTTGTCAAGTCCAGCCCCTAGAGTCAACTATGGCAGCCTCCTAACCTTATTTTTCTTGTCTTGCAGGTGGAAAAGAAGGGATGGGGCGCAGCATGTGTTCCCCCATTATTTTTGGGAGCAAAACATTAATCAATACATCCAAAAATGGAAGAATGGGTCCTATTGTTTTATCTTTTGTCAAAGATGTCTTTTTGGACTCATCCTAATTTATTTAGAACAAGTCAACTTCCTACATAACATTATTGATCTCCAATATGTGTAGGCTCATCTCAATAACTTACTTGATGGATAATATAGAAGGAAAATCCTACTCCCATTATTTGGCTCAATAATGCCAAAGATGGGGTTATAGGCATTTGTACTCTTCTTTAATCATCCTATCGCTTATTTTGACATTTGTCATTCATATTATTGGGCTACAAGCCGTGTGGGTCGCCCCCGAGTGGGCCTACGACGCCGTCCTCAACTGTTTGCTATTTTAGCGGGTTGAGCTCAAAATAATGTATGGACTGCCCGCCCTTCCTCAACTTGTCTTGAAACGTTATGTATAACTATTTAGATAATGTTTGGATCTTTTATTACGAGTTCGAGCGGTATCATAATCGATCATGAATTACGTAAAACAACAATCGTTTTACAATTGTTTGGGAATCAGAAATCCAATACATAAACTTTGAATTCTAAAATCAAATTCTCAAGGACGTTCGGGTGCGGTGTCACAAGTTCACCCCCCCTTAACAGGAATTTCGTCCCCGAAATTCACAGCTCTACTCGAATAGGAAGGCATACTGTTTCCTCATCAAGGCCTCTGTTTCCCATGTCTCTTCTTCGACCCGATCGCTTTTCCAAAGTACTTTAACCATTGGGACTTCCTTGCTTCTCAATTTCTTCACCTTCCTGTCGGTGACCTTGATTGGTTGAACAGCGTAGTTCAAATCCTCACGTACCTCTACAGGTGGCTTCTCCAATACGTGTGAGGGATCATGCACATACTTCTTAAGCATGGATACATGAAACACATTATGTATCTTCTCTAACTCAGGAGTCAACTGTAGACGATATGCAACGGCCCCAATCCTCTCTATAATTCTGAATGGACCTATGTACCGTGGGTTAAGCTTCCCTCGGGTTTGAAATCGAATGATTCCTTTCCAAGGAGAAACTTTCAAGAATACCTCGTCATCAACCTTAAACTCTAAGGTTCTTCGACGTTTATCTGCATAACTCTTTTGCCTATCCTGGGCCGCTTTGAGTCTCTCTCGAATCAATTTCACCTTTGATTTGGTGACCTCAACCAACTCAGTACCCTCGAGTTTGGCCATGCCAACCTCATCCCAGCATAACGGTGTACGGCACCTCCTCCCATACAATGCCTCGTATGGAGGCATACCGATGCTTGCCTGATAACTGTTGTTATAGGCAAATTCCACAAGTGCTAAGTGGTTGTCCCAACTTCCTTGGAACTCCAACGCACAAGCCCTCAGCATGTCTTCTAAGATCTGTATGACTCTTTCAGACTGCCCATCCGTCTGTGGGTGGAAAGCAGTACTGAACTTCAACCTCGTTCCCATAGACTCCTGAAATTTCGGCCAAAAACGTGATGTGAATCGTGGGTCTCTATCGGATACAATGGTCACTGGGACCCCATGCAGCCTCACGATCTCATCCGTATACAATTTGGCTAACCTCTCAAGTGGGTAGGTAGTGTTGATAGGCAAGAAGTGTGCACTCTTTGTGAGCCTATCCACAACAACCCAAACCGCATCGTAGTTCCGAATTGTCCGTGGTAAACCTACCACGAAATCCATAGTCACATGTTCCCACTTCCACTCAGGAATGGAAAGTGGTTGTAGCAAGCCTGCTGGATGCTGATGTTCTGCCTTAACTTGTTGACAAGTAAGGCATCGACTGATGTACTCGGCTATTTCCCTCTTCATTCCAGACCACCAGTAACTTTCTTTCAAATCACGGTACATTTTCGTGCCCCCCGGGTGCATGGCATAAGCCGATGAATGAGCCTCCTCTAAGATGGACTTTCGGAGCTCATCATCTGACGGCACACACACTCGATCACGAAATAACAAGAGACCATCATCACTTGCCCTGAAATCCTCCACCGGTCCCGCTTGCATGCGTTCCCGGACCTTCATAAGTTCTGCGTCAGCCTCTTGACCCTTCTTGATCTCATCAAGTAAAGTAGGTCTCACCTCAAATCGTGCCAATAAGGCACCATCGCTGGATACCTCCAGTTGGGCTCTTAATGCCCTCAAATTAGCTAGCAATGCCCCAGACGAGCTCTTCCGGCTCAAAGCATCTGCCACCACGTTTGCCTTGCCTGGGTGATACTCTATCACTAGATGGTAGTCTTTTATCAACTCCATCCACCGTCTCTGTCTCATGTTTAGCTCTTTTTGAGTAAACACGTATTTCAAGCTCTTGTGATCAGTGTATATGTGACATGTCTCCCCGTAGAGATAATGTCTCCATATCTTCAGTGCAAACACCACAGCCCCCAGCTCCAAGTCGTGAGTAGGATAATTCACCTCATGCTTCTTCAACTGTCGTGAAGCATAGGCGATTACCCTCCCATTCTGCATCAGCACGCATCCAAGCCCTTGGATGCTCGCATCGCTATAGACATCGTACCCCACACCCTGTTTGGGTAATGCAAGTACCGGTGCCTCGGTCAATCGCTTCTTTAGTTCCATGAACCCCTCCTCACATTTGTCATCCCATACAAACTTAGCTCCTTTACGAGTGAGCTTCGTCAATGGTGATGCCAAAACAGAGAACTTCTCCACGAACTTTCTATAGTAGCCTGCCAGTCCAAGGAAACTACGAATTTCCTTGACGTTCTTTGGTCTCTCCCATTCGGTAATGGCTTCTATCTTCTTATTATCAACAGCAATTCCCGATCCTGAAACCACGTGCCCGAGGAAGCCAATTTCCTTTAGCCAAAATTCACATTTAGAGAATTTGGCATAAAGTTGCTTCTCCCGTAGTGTCTCAAGAACGAGTATCAAGTGTTCTTCATGCTCTTCCTCACTCTTTGAGTAAATCAAAATGTCATCTATGAACACAATCACGAATCGATCCAAGTATTTATGGAATACTCGGTTCATCAAGTCCATGAATGCCGCCGGGGCGTTTGTTAACCCAAACGACATAACAAGGAACTCAAAATGCCCATACCTTGTGCGGAAAGCACTTTTTGGTATGTCGTCTTCCTTAATCTTCAATTGATGGTAACCCGACCTCAAATCAATCTTTGAAAACACGGTTTCCCCTCGTAGTTGATCAAACAAGTCATCAATTCTAGGCAAAGGATACCTATTCTTGATTGTGACCTTGTTCAGTTGACGATAGTCAATACACATTCGAAGTGTCCCATCTTTCTTTTTCACAAAAAGAACTGGTGCTCCCCACGGGGAGTGGCTTGGCCTAATGAAACCATTATCCAAAAGCTCTTGCAATTGGGTTTTCAACTCGTTAAGTTCAGCGGGTGCCATACGGTATGGCGGTATGGAGATTGGTTTGGTGCCGGGCTCGACCTCGATCACGAACTCAATCTCCCTATCGGGTGGAAGTCCCGGTAAGTCTTTAGGAAAGACGTCCCGATACTTGCATACTACCCTAACATCATCAATGCTCGTCTCTTCTTTGGTTTTGTCCACCACATACGCTAGATATGCGTGACATCCCTTCCTCATCATATTCTTAGCCCTCACAGCGGATATGATACAACTATTGGATTTTGCCCTATCCCCCTCGAAGCGTAAGGTTACCCCTTCATTGCCTTCGAGTTCAAGTACTTTCGTGTAACAATCGACCCTAGCATGATGCTTCTCAAGCCAATCCATCCCCAGGATTGCATCGAACTCAATCATACTCAGCGGCACGAAATCACACGACAAGTTTTGGCCCTCCACTTCCACCTCACACGATGGATAGTGGCTATCTCTCTCGATGTCTTCCCCTAGGGGTGTGGATACCAATAGGGCTTGAGCCATCGGTACTAGGGGTGCGTTGAATCCCCCGGCGAATGCCTCACTCACAAATGATCGTTGCGCCCCGGTATCGATGAGGATTCTCGCACATCTCCCATTAATCTTTAGTGTTCCTACATTTATAAGCCATGTAAGATACCTCTCTAACATACCGACCAATCCTACGAAGAACATAATGCGAAATCATGTCCTTAAAGTGGGCAAAATCCCCCAATTATGGTTGACGTTCGCAGTTGAGATATAAATTGACACTGTCTCACCGTTTTGATCATATCTCTTCACATACTTAACCAAATCGTTCGATTCAAATTCCATCATTTAGACAATGAAAATATCTACAACTTTCATGAAGACAACTTTTTCATTTGACGAACACTTCGAGGTGTACCCGGTCGGGTAACATACTATACCCGATCGGGTATAAGTTCCAGTGGGTTCGGGCAGAATTTTTTTTTTGACAAACCCGGTCGGGTTTACCACCATACCCGGTCGGGTATGTGTTCCAGAAAGTGTCGGGAAGAAATTTTTGACAAACCCGGTCGGGTATACCACCATACCCGGTCGGGTATGTGTTCCAGAAGGTGTCGGGCAGAAATTTTTGACAAACCCGGTCGGGTATACCACCATACCCGGTCGGGTATGTGTTCCAGTGGACTTATGAGTGAAAAAACTTGGCCTACCCGGTCGGGTTCATTACCAAACCCGATCGGGTATGCGATCCAGAAGGTTTACGAGGGCAAAAACTCGTCCCACCCGGTAGGGTTTATTGCCCTACTCGGTCGGGTAGTAGCATGGTTTTGCTCTCCTTTCCCATTTCAATCTTACGTCTGCTCCCACCTGAATTCTAGGATTTATAACTTCAATTTATGGACTAATTAAGGATAAAACACTAGTGTACGAGAGGCAATACCTGCAACGGAATCCGGGTTAGCTTGAGCATCCGCCTCCGTCATCGCGTAGACCCTAGCTTGAGTCCTTCATTGATTCACGGACGGCGCGTTGCTTGCGCTTGCTCCCCCTTGCCCCCTGGACGCTTGTGAAGTCCCGGCTTGATTCCGTGTCCCGGTATTACCACTACTTGGCCCTGATGCCCTCGTCCCGCCCAGTTGTGGGCAGCTCATCTTCATGTGACCCGTGCTCCCGCATTGGTAGCATCTAGGAGGGTCACGACATTTCCCCGGGTGGTTCCTCTTGCAATTCTTGCAACGAGTCACCCCCGAGGCTTGTGATTGCCCGCCCGGGCCATGACTTCCCCTAGGTGGCAGTGGGGGTGTCCGAAAAGATCCCCCTCCCCCATGGTTCCCCTTTTTGCTAAGACCTTGATGTCCATGGTTCTCCCACTTCCTCTTCTTTGCCTCTTCGGCGTTCTTCAACTTTCTTTCCTCCCATTCTTTCTCTCCTTTTAACCCTTGCTCGACCACTTGGCTAAAAGTCATGTTAGGCAACTGTGTTGCCCTCTCACGCACCTCCAGGTCTAAGGCATCCCAGAAGTGATTTACCATCCAGTTCTCGTCACACACATACTCCGGTATGAACTCCGCGAGCTCCCTGAATTTGTGTTCAAGTTGCCTCACCGTCATTTTGCCCCCTTGGGTCAGGAGGGTATACTCTCTCCTCTTGGCGTTCACCTCAAAATCAGAATAATATTGGGCAAAGAACTCCTGTCGGAAATTCTCCCAAGTCACCGTGTTGCCATACTTTCCCTTGGCTCCGTCCCACCATGTGGATGCCATCCCTTCGAGCAACCTCACCGCCACCCTTAGCTTAAACTCGGGGGTGAGTTGCATATCAAGGGCTGCTTCGTTCAGCCTCTTGATCCATTCCGCGGCGACCGAGATGTCACCCGCTCCGTTGAAGGGTTTGCACCCCAAGTCTCGTGCCTCCTTGAGGTATTTGGAGATCCTTATGATCGGACCTCCATCACCCCGGCCCCCATGTGGTTCAATGTGGGCCCTAGAGTCGCCATGGCTTCTTCCTCTTGAAGCCCCACCCGAAGTTCTCCCTCCTCGGCGCCTTCGGCGTTCCCTCCTTCCCTCGCGCTCCCGCTGGTATTGCTGGAGCAGCGCCTCAATTCTGGCTAGGGAGTCATTCTCCCCTTCTTCATCACTTATATCATCGTCATCCCCTTCGTAAGGGGTCTCAACCGGCTCGGTCTCCGGTTGGTAAGTCGAGTCCTCATAGGACCAGTAGGTTTCACTTTCTGTGTCAACATGACCGTCACTCACGGTCTGTGATCGGCCTCCACGGCCAGCTCCTCTAGATGCCCTAGAGGTCCTTCGACTGCCCTGTCCAGTCTCCACTGGTACACGGCCCGTCGGGTTTCTCCTAGTAATCCTGCCACCACGGTCCATTTCTGAAAGAAATTTGGAAGGAGTCGTTAGACTCGTATCAAATGTCAATTGACGGATAGGTACTTAAGACACATTTTGGCTCGAGTCACCGCCATACCAATTGCTAAGGGTACCATCTTAACAATTAGAGACCTTGCAACCCAAGTACCAAAAGCTCTCCAAGTACAAAACTTCTATGCTCATGGTTTTCAAAATATTTTCAAAAAGAGAATTTTGAGACTTCATTATGAAGTTTATGGACTAAGGCTCTGATACCAACTTAATTGTCACGCCCCGGACCTCCCCGGACACGTCAACAACCCGCCGTACAATACGAATAGTCAACCGCAGTCCAACACATTCATATTATACGAGGCGTCTCGAATATCATTCACACGTAAGCCATCCATAAACAAACATAGTAAGTAATTCATAATGCAGCGGAAAACATTGTTTAAAACAAAAAGACCACACCGGGCTATTCATGAGCACGCAGGCTCCATAGTAAAATATCCATGAGCATGTTTATTAATGTTTAAAACTGAATGGAGGAAGCACGAACCAAGTCTTCCCTCCTAGATGATCCCTCGAGCAACGAGCACAGGAAGCAAGCTCTAGCCTCAACCTGAAAAATGGTGGTGGGACGCCCCCGAAGGGGTCAGCACTCTATAGGGCTATAAAGTGCTGGTGTGGATGGCATCTAATAGATATACAACAAGTATTTCAAACACAAGACCCTCAAATAGGGTGATAGTATAATCTAGGCCGTAACCCCAAGTTACCCCTTTTTAAAAATATACTTACTTTATATACAAAGTCAAGTAGTCGGCCCGTAGGCCCAAGGTTTGTTTATCAAACATACCCCAAAATCCCGTGACCCCTAGTCACAACAATACATAGGGTTCAACCCTAACACACATGTTTGCATTCTCGAGTCCAACTCGACTACATCACCATGCACCCTTATTAGCATAAGCTAACTACTCCACCGTGCATTTCTTGAGTCCAACTCAACTACATCACCATGCACAACAATCACCTCATCATGTCTACCCAATGCAATTCTATGAGCACGGGCTCAAGTACATCTCCTTACATTGGCATAGACCCCAATTCCTAAGCACTCACTATGCCTAGAATTGTAATATCAACAATCTATTTTGGGACATCCCTACGGACTGCCCAACCATGGTCTTAGCATCACATTACATCAATTTAGTCACTTGCATCACAATCAAGTTCATCAATTACAATCAAATCCTTAGATTCAATTCTTCAACAATTACAACAATCGTTAACTAGTATTTCAATACTATTAAGATTATTCTTATCAATCATATATTCCATTTGTAAAACCCTACATATTTAGAGATATGTAGCAGCAACTTAATCATTCAATGTAATACATAAATAATCATTTATGTATCTACACAATTCACACATGAGTAGAATGCCTATTTCACGTAATAGTTCATTTAACTCCATTTTCATCAATACTTTACCAAATCATTTCTCATTTCATTTTTTGGAAAATAGATCAATATTCCATCAATAGGTTATCATCATAATCCATGGAAAACATTACGTAGGCATTTAGGTAATCTCATGCTCAACCTACAAGTTGTAAGCAACTAGATGTCGATCCTCACCTCAAATGAGCTTTAAAACCTTCCTTCTCGATCCAATGGCTAAAGCCTCGGCCAAGGAAGCTTGAGAACTGATTCCTTGCTTAGAAATGGGTGCTAAACAGCCTCCTCAAGTTGCTATTTCAACCCCTAATCGTTGATACGAAAACAGCCCCTAGAACGGGTGTTTTCCGGCTAACTCGATTCCTAGTTTTCCAATATTTGCATCTAGGTTAGTATCTAACCTTTACATCAATAAAATAACTTAATAGGGATGTTTTATACACTTGGAGTAGTGTATAATAGTCCCACCAATCGTTCATATCATTTGGAAAATGAATGGAAAGGTTTTGGGATTAAAAACTCACTTAGAAGAGTAAATCCGTCCCTGCGAGGTCGCGTTCTGATCGGACGATTTGGAAGCCTTACTCTACTCCGATTGATGCAAACCAGACCTTCAAGGACTCCTCGTCTTGAGAGCTTTCTTTTGGTATCTCACACGCCTTAATTGGATTGGTAAAACTCGAGATATCAACCAAACAGTCTCAGCACTCTCACAGCTCGAGTTCACAGACCACTGCTCGTTCCAGATCGATTTTTGGATGATTACTCTCTCCTCTCGAACTGAGACCACTCAATTATAAAAATAGACTTCAAAAGCTATCCAAGGACACCTTATACACCTCATTTGGCCGAGTATAACATCACTCATGAAGGGAGACAACCAGCACCACTCTTATGAGCGAAAAATAGGCTAGGTGGGGTTCCCTTTTGTTTCCTTTGTCAAGTCCAGCCCCTAGAGTCAACTATGGCAGCCTCCTAACCTTATTTTTCTTGTCTTGCAGGTGGAAAAGAAGGGATGGGGCGCAGCATGTGTTCCCCCATTATTTTTGGGAGCAAAACATTAATCAATACATCCAAAAATGGAAGAATGAGTCCTATTGTTTTATCTTTTGTCAAAGATGTCTTTTTGGACTCATCCTAATTTATTTAGAACAAGTCAACTTCCTACATAACATTATTGATCTCCAATATGTGTAGGCTCATCTCAATAACTTACTTGATGGATAATATAGAAGGAAAATCCTACTCCCATTATTTGGCTCAATAATGCCAAAGATGGGGTTATAGGCATTTGTACTCTTCTTTAATCATCCTATCGCTTATTTTGACATTTGTCATTCATATTATTGGGCTACAAGCCGTGTGGGTCGCCCCCGAGTGGGCCTACGACGCCGTCCTCAACTGTTTGCTATTTTAGCGAGTTGAGCTCAAAATAATGTATGGACTGCCCGCCCTTCCTCAACTTGTCTTGAAACATTATGTATAACTATTTAGATAATGTTTGGATCTTTTATTTATTAATAAGGCCCAAACGAGTATCCTCAGCCCAACACTAATGTACGAGTTCGAGTGGTATCATAATTGATCATGAATTACGTAAAACAACAATCGTTTTACAATTGTTTGGGAATCAGAAATCCAATACATAAACTTTGAATTCTAAAATCAAATTCTCAAGGACGTTCGGGTGCGGTGTCACAATATATGTTGCTTAATGCAGAGATTGTAATTGGGCTTATTTGTCTTATTCTGGCAAATGAAATGATGATTTGGAATTGAATATTTGAATACATTGAATTTTGGAAGGAATTATGATATCCATTGAAACAAATTATAACTTCTTGATAAAAAAAATATAATTTTGGAAGCAAGGCGTGTTTTAAATTGATTTTTCAATTCTTCCAAAATGATTAAAAAAAAGGCTCCATTCTCAACATACTTTAAACTTTCCTTATTTATTAATTGTACAAAAAACTTTGTCATTTTTATTTATAGTAATAAAAATGAAAAAATAATAAATAACTTCAAATGAAATTTATAATAGATGCCTTTTAACGACCATTTTTATTACTCATATATGCTTTGTCGCATTTTATGTGCATGTTATGAATAGATACAATACTGATTTTTTGTATCCCCACATTTAAAGAGATATTAGTTCTGGGGTAGTTATGATTCAAATGGTCACTTAATTATAAATTTGCCATAAATATAGTGTAATATTAATCTTGCCATATGCAAATTATTAGTTTACTGCCCAAATTTATATATTCAGTTTTTATGCAATATCATTTACAAACTTTGCTACTTTATATTTATATAAAGATAAAGATAATATAAACATAGAAAATGTCCATGTAAGGTAGGCCTTAAAGTTATGATTTTAGGTTTCTTTCATTTGAGATGCTTCGAGTCCAAATTTTTTATAAAATTTTGTGAGCATGTTCTCCATAAATATGTCCATAAAATTTCATATTAAAATGCAATTAGAAAGGCAATTAAATAATTTTTAGAAAAATGTGTGGTTTCTTATATATAAAAATAAAATTTTTTGAATAATTTAATTAACTGACTTCCCAATTGAATTTTAATATGAAATTTGATGGACATAATCTACATTCATGGAGAACATGCTCACAAAATTTTATCAAAACATTTGACCCGAAAACACATAAATGAAATTATGAAAGAGGCCCAAAAATGTAACTTTTGAGCTTACCTTACATGATGATTGTTCAAATAAACATAATGATAAAAATTATTATTATTATTACTATTATTATTATTTACATATTTAAATTATTGCACATTTAACTAAATCCAAGATGCAAACATATAATTTTATCAGTTTTATATATAAATATCTCATATCATTATTCAATAATAGTGGTCATTAGTTAGGTTACCATTTCTAAAGATATATTTAAGGCAAGAATGGATACTTTTGATGCTCTTTATTTTCACACACTTGCCCCAAATTTCGGCGGGAGTTTTGCTTCCAAAATTTTATCAACTTTGATATTTTATATTATACTCGTATAAAAGTATTATTAATAATAATAATATAAAGACAATGATTATTATTACTATTGTTATTCCTTGCATATTTAAATTATAACAAATTTAGATACATCCAGGATGGGAAAATATCATTAAATTATACGTAGTAACATTTTTGCCATACATAATAGCTTTGGATTTAGGATAAAAAAGGATAATGATAAACGTAATTAATGATATAAACCCATATTATATATATGCCTAAAATACTTTATAGACACCTCTGTATGCAAATTCTTAATGGGTGCACTTCCGTTACTTTATGCGCAGATTCTTAATTGGTGCAATTAATGTTCTATTTATGTGGAAGTTATTAAAGAAATATATTTGGTACATACGGTAATCTTGATCTACACAAATCAAAGAAACATTCAGATTTAGATTTGATTTGATTCCATACGTATGACATATTTACTACATACGGTGCATTTTTTAATGGAACTTCAATTACCTTTTTACCCTTATTTTGAGCGGTAATTTTGCCTCCAAAAGTTGTAGGCCGATTGTTACTTTATATTATATAAAGATAAAGATATTGTCACTAACTTAATTATATTTTTGTCTTGATATATATTGTCAATAAAAGGATTTGAAGTTTAAGTATTATTTCATTGTTTTGTTTCAATACTGAATAATTATATATTCTTATAACATGTATGTATTTGAATCTTCAATTCATAGTTACTATAGAGCGTATAGATTTGTTTCTACATAAAAGGTCGTGAAAGGTTATTAATTAAGTGACATATCACTTTATATTTATGACAAAAGTAATTGTATTTAAATTAATAGTTCAATAAGTACCACGTTTCATTTTTTATAAGCTACGGAGTTTTTTTACATGTATTACAAATTAAAGTATTTTATCCCACTTGAGAGCAAGGAATGTGGAGAGTATGTTGTGTGATATGAGAACTAATTTCAAATCCTTGATCATTGGTAAGGTATAGAAATATGGAAAAATTAAAAATAATAATCTCACCTATTGTTGGTCCGCTTTTAATAATCTCAACTATCGATTATTCTTGAGTGGTCTCAAATACAGGTGTCATCTTCCAATAGTAGTCCCTCTGGACTAGTCGGTGGAGGAGTTAAGGGGCATGGGGGCAAGCGCCCCCGCTTCGGCCAATATGTTTTTACTATTACTACTTAATATATAAATCATGCTCTCGCTTCTTTTTTAATAACAATAGTACTACTTAAGATTAATTTTAGATTAAGTGTTAATTTTATATGGAGTATTAAGTGTTAAATTGACCAAATAAAAAATGTAATGCTTAGTTTAGAAAACATACATACACATTGGCAACCTTTAGGACTCCATCGATTTTTTTTTTTAAACAGACTACATCGCTTTTGTTTTTGAAAAGGACTCCAGCCAATTAAACCCCATTAAGTGATACACCAAATAAAAGCTTAAAATTAAAATTAGAAAACAAGACACATGCTCCGACTTCCCACCTCGCAACGAACTACGAACAAACTTGAGAGCGCAGCAAGCAATGAACGGGAAAAGAGGAACGCGCACTCGGCCCTCTCCGACTTTTCTCCGGCAGAAATCTAACTTTCTTTCTCCCTATATTTCTCCAGATTCTCAATTCTCCAATATCAATCGCATATGTAATTTAATACTATTAGTATTAGAAACATCTTTAATTCGTATTTATTTTTGTTACATTTAGGAGTATGAGTTTGGATAAGTTTGAAATTAAGACTAAAAGGTCTTTGATTCGAGGGGTTAGTTCTTCAATTGTTCCTAATCAATTTGTCTCTAATGATGGAAATGCTAGTGCGTCGAATGAAAATATTGCTGGAGATGAGAGTAAGGAGATTAGGAGGGACAATAGAGCACGAACACAAAGTGCATATGAGTGGAATATTATTAGTGATCCAGCTTTACCATAACCTAGTAATGATTATGCATCGGGGGTTTGAGATGATGTGATGAGAGAATATGTTGTCAAAAATGCTTGTCAACCAGCATCTCATAAATTTCCACGAATTGCATTTGGAAAGACATTAAGGATGGTTTTACTTGGACTGAAATTTTTTGGTGTAGTCCGGTCTGAACTGGTCTGGTCTGGTAAATGTATGGTCTCTGTGTAATTTATAATTATCCAACTCTGGTCTGGTTTGATTTGATCTGGTCTTGTCTGGTCTAGGAATGCAAACAATCCAAGTAAAAACATCCTAAGGTGTTTTCGAGGAGAGTGGTTTGAAAGTTGGGAATGGTTGGAATATAATATTTCAAAAGATGTCGCTTTCTGTTTTTGGTGTTACATTTTTAATGAGGAAGAAGGGAAGAGATTTGGAGATGCTGTGTTTTTGAGGACTGGATTCCGAAATTGGAAGAAAGCTTTTGAAAATTTTAGTGATCATGTGGCCTGAGATGTGTGTAGAGTGTGCTCAATGATGCTAGAACACAAATTTTTTCTTTCAAAAATTAAAGACAAAGTCTTTCAAGAAGTGTCTCTTCAGAAATACAGTTGTTTGAATGCAAGTGTGGATTGCACTAGATTTTTAATTATACAAGAATTGATTTTGCGTGGTCGTAAAGAACAAGAAAGCTCATTTAATAAAGGAAATTTCATGGAATTGCTAGAATGGTATAGTGCATGATATTGTCGATGTGACAAAAGTGGTGAAAGACAATGTGATGGTCCCATGAGGTAAAAGTCTAGAGGGGGTGAATAACTTTTAAATCTTTTCATTTTTCAGCCATCTTTCCTCTAATAGAATGAGTTTAACTATCTTTAGGAAGATATTGAAACCTACAGCGGAAGTCTTGACCTC